CACCTGGCCAGGTGAGCACAGGCGGGACCAGGTGGGACCAGGTGTGTCCAGGTGAGCTCCAGGTGAGCTCCAGGGTTTGGTGTGACCATGGCAATGCAGAACAGAGCGACCCGGAAGTTCTCGGGGGGATGGAGGATGAGGGTCAGCCTGGCCAGGTGAGACCAGGTGGGATCAGGTGATCCTAGATGGGTTTAGATGGACTCCAGGTGAGACCAGGTGGGACCAGGTGGGCTCAGGTGGGTTTAGATGGGCTCCAGGTGTGTCCAGGTGTGCCCAGGTGAGCTCCAGGTGAGCTCCAGGGTTTGGTGTGACCATGGCAATGCAGAACAGAGCGACCCGGAAGTTCTCAGGGGGATGGAGGATGAGGGTCAGCCTGGCCAGGTGAGACCAGGGGGCACCAGGTGGGTTCAGGTGGGCTCCAGGTGTGGGACCAGGTTGGGTTTCACCATTTGAATGCAGACCTGGAAGTTCTCAGGGGGATGGAGGATGAGGGTCAGCCTGGCCAGGTGAGACCAGGTGGCACCAGGTGGCACCAGGTGGGACCAGGTGGGACCAGGTGGGACCAGGTGGGCTCCAGGTGGGACCAGGTGAGCTCCAGGTGAGCTCCAGGGTTTGGGGTGACCATGGCAATGCAGAACAGAGCGACCCGGAAGTTCTCGGGGGGATGGAGGATGAGGGTCAGCCTGGCCAGGTGAGACCAGGGGGCACCAGGTGGGACCAGGTGGGTTCAGGTGGGTTCAGATGAGCTCCAGGTGGGACCAGGTGGGTTTAGATGGGCTCCAGGTGGGACCAGGTGGGTTTAGATGGGCTCCAGGTGAGCTCCAGGGTTTGGGGTGACCATGAAAGTGGAGACCCAGAAGTTCTTGGAGGAGTGGGGGATGAGGACTCATCTGTCCAGGTGAGCTCAGGTGGGTTCAGGTGGGTTCAGATGAGCTCCAGGTGGGACCAGGTTGGGTTTCACCATTTGAATGCAGACCCAGAAGTTCTTGGAGGGATGGGGGATGAGGACTCACCTGGCCAGGTGTGCCCAGGTGTGCCCAGGTACCCCCAGGTGCCCTCAAGCGCCTCCAGGTCTATCCCAGGTGTATCCCAGCCCCCCCAGCTGTGCCCAGGTGTGTCATAGCCACACCCAGCTGTGCCCAGGTGCCCCCAGCTGGGCCCAGGTGTAACCCAGGTGTGCCCAGGTACCCCCAGGTGTATCTCGGGTGTAACCCAGGTGTAACCCAGGTGTAACCCCAATTTAACCCCGGTGTAACTCCGGTGTATCCCAGGTGTAACCCCAGTGTCACCCCAATTTAACCCTGGTGTAACCCCGGAGTAACCCCGTTGTAACCCAGGTGTATCCCCAATTTAACCCAGGTGTATCCCCAATTTAACCCCGGTGTAACCCCGGTGTAACCCCGATTTAACCCTGGTGTAACCCCGATTTAACCCCGGTGTAACCCAGGTGTATCCCAGGTGTATCCC